CGCCGCTGGGACCAACTCCAAAATCTGCACAAGAAGTGCAGAGTATAGTATCAGTACAACCGACCCCATGTACTGGTAAGTGCTGAGCCTAACCTCGACAAAGTAGTGACGAGGCTAAGGCGATTCACTTACATTAACTTGTACGCAATATTGATAACAACAATAACTTATAGCAATAAATCAGGTAACTCATTTATAATAATTAAAGCTAACTCAGCAGTCATAATCCATTATTATTTCAACCAATGCTGTTGCAGCGTGCAACCCGCTCTCACAATATATTCACACTCAATTCTGTTGTAGCGTGCAACCCGCTCTCCCAATATATTCCTTTTAATCAAGTCTGTCATGTATTTATTTCAACCAAGTTTATATATAGACTTTTAAATAAGTCTGTTGCGGCGTGCAATCCGATCCCCCGATATTGACTTTTTAATAAATCTGTTGCGGCGTGCAACCCGATCCTCAAATATTGACTTTTTAATAAGTCTGTTGCGGCGTGCAACCCGATCCTCCAATATATATCCATTTCAATTAATTCTGTTGCGGCGTGCAACCCGCTCCTCCAACATATTCATTTACCAATTCTTATAGAAGAAATTTTTTCGATAAATGCAACAATTAATATAAAACTATAAGATAACAAGCATACAATAATCATGATTTAATTATGAAACAAACAATGACAAATAGCAAATTATTATAGAAATCAGAGAAAAAATAGGCAGTTTAATATTTAATATGCTAAATGTCAAATAACAATTAAAACACATAATTCAAATAGTATGTAACAATTAATGCGGGAATTCAAGAATTAATATGTGACAAAGAATAGGAGAAAAATAATTATTATAATAATTAATTTATGATTAAAAATAATTTATGATTTTTCAAGTAAGCAGACAAATAATTAATTTGAGAACGTATAGACACTCGTCACCTCGCCTATACGTCGTTCATATGCAATTCACATAATAAATAATTTAAGGGTTCTATTCCCTCAAGTCAAGGTTAACCCCGACACTTACCTCGCTTTGCAAATTCCAATCAATTATTCAATCACAGCTTTTCCTTTTAAATTTGCCTCCGAAAGTTTTAAATCTATTTACAAAAAATTCGATATATTCAATAAGAATCATAGGAATTAATTCCATATGAATTTATAAATTTTCCGGATAAAAATCCGAAATTCATTAAAATATTCGGCAGTGGACCCGCGTCTCAAATCTCGGAAAAACTCACGAAATCTGAACACCCGTTCCGATACGAGTTTAACCATACAAAATTTGTCCAATTCCGATATCAAATGGACCTTCAAATCTTTATTTTTTTCGTTTTTGGAAGATTTTATAAAAATCTGATTTTTCTTTCATAAATTCACGGATTCATGATATAAATGAGTATGAAATTATGAAATATAAGCAATATAGAATAAGGAACACTTACCCCAATATTTTCCCGTAAAAATCGCCCAAAAATCGCCTTACCCGAGCTCAAAAATGGAAAAGGGTTAAAAATAGGACGAATCCCATTTTCCAGAACTTAAGTTATGTTTCTTGGATTTTTACCCTTCGCTAACGCGGTCAGTGCCTCGCGTTCGCGAAGCACAAATTTATGCTATCCCATTTTACTCTTCGCGAACGCGAGGGCTACCTCGCGAACGTGATGCTTGCCTGGCTTGGCCTTCGCGAACGCGAGATGCCCTTCGCGAACGCGAAGGCTAATTTTCCTAGCCAGCCTCTTTCCCTTCGCGAACGCGAGGCTTCGATCGCGAACGCGAAGCTTTGAACCTCAAGCCTTCGCGAACGCGGTCACTCTGTCACGAACGCGAAGCACAAAACATGCCAGCCCCCAATTTGCTCTTCGCGTTCGCGAGAGTACTTTCGCGAACGCGAAGAAGAACACACCACAAGCCTCAAGTATGCAGAAAACCAGATTTCCTAAGTCCGAAAATGATCCGTTAACCACCCGAAACCAACCCGAGCCCTCGGGGCTCCAAACCAAACATGCATCCAAGTCCTAAAACATCATACGAACTTGCTCGCGCGATCAAATCGCCAAACTAACACCTAGAACTACGAATCAGACACCAAATCAAAGGAAATTTTCAAGAAAACTTTAAAACCTTTATTTTTACAACCGGGCATCCGAATCACGTCAAATTAACTCCGATTCTCACCAAATTCGGCAGACAAGTCATAAATATTATAGTGGAGCTATACCGAGCTCCGAAACCAAAATACAGACCCGAGGTCAATAAATCCAACATCAGTAATTTCTTAAAAATCATTAAGCTTTCAAGCTTTTAATTTTTTCTTTAAAATTTCATATCTCGAGCTAGGGATTTCGGAATTCGATTTCGGGCATACGCACAAGTCCCAAATCACAATACGGACCTACCGGAATTGTCAAAATACTGATCCGAGTCCGTTTGCTCAAAATATTGACTAAAGTCAACTCAGTTGAGTTTTTAAAGCTCTATTTTATATTTTAATCTATTTTTCACATATAAACTTTTCGAAAAATTGTACGGACTGCGCACGCAAGTCGAAAAATAATAAATGGTACTTTTTGAGGTTTTAGAACACAGAATTACTTATTAAATTTAAAGATGATATTTTGGGTCATCACATATATTGTGTTGGCTTTGGCATTTTAGCACGTGACTCTGAAGAAGTATATTTCTGGGTTTTCTTACTGATTTTCGTGATTGAGTTGATTTAAATAAAAAAAATTATTATTTTATTTTAAATTAAATAGTTTTATAACCAAACCAGTAGTTTATCTTATGCCTTAATTTAAGTGAAATATTACTTTCTTCACCCAAATGAATTCTAAAAATAAATTCAATTCTTTGTTGATTTCTTACTTGATTTTAAAATTTTAAAGTCACTTTAGTGGAAATATATTGATCATGTGGATCTTATATACATTGAGGATATTTGGCACGTGAGTTGTTCGTACAGTTGAGATATGAATTGAGGGCACGAGGTGCCGGGAAAACATGATAATTTAATTATGGGCACGAGGTGCCGTGAAAATATAAAAATGGATTGAGACCCGTATTTACGAAAAATATAAAAATGGGCTGAGACCCGTATTTTTTATGATTATGAAATGAGGTGTCACATAGTGACTTTTTAATTGAAAGAATTATATTCAAAATATTGATTTGGAAGGATTTTTATTCAAAAAGAATTATATGAGGGAATTATAGGCGAAAGACATTTATTTGAAAGACTTGATTTAATTAGGTGTAATTGTGTTTATTAATTGTTGAGGGATATTAATGATATTCTTGTTGTCTGTTGTGCATATCACCGGTTATTTTATCCTGCCCTTGTTGTTATTGTTTCCTAATATTTTGTATATTATATTGCACAGTTTATTAGTCTAGTGAGTGTCTTGACTATACCTCGTCTCTACTCCATTGATGTTAGTCTTGATACTTATCGGGCACCGCTGTGGTGTGCTCACTCTACACTTCTGTATATTTTTGTGCAGAGCTAGGTATTGGAGGTATCGGACTTGAGCAGAGTTAAAGCGCGATCGTAAAGATTCAAGGTAGAGCTGATTGGCCGTCACAGTCCCTTGGAGTCTTTTCATTTCAATGTACTGTTAATTTGTAATAAAACAGTATTGTATATTCGGTCTTCGTGATCATTCCATGTATTCAGTTAGAGTTCGTGACTCAGTACTACCAGTCTTGGGAGGTTGTATATTATGATTATTTTCGCTGTTTGTTTTAAAAAAATGGCTTCAAAAGTTAATTGTAATCGACTTACCTAGTCTTAGAGACTAGATGCCATCACGACGCTTGTGGTGGAATTTTGGATCGCGAAACAAAAATTGATCTGAAAAAGGGTGAAAAAATAGGTAATGATGTGTTCTTTTTCTGGAAGTGGAAAAAGCCAAATGTGAGAAGACCCATGCAAGTTTTGCAACAAAATCTTTAGAAAAAGGTTAAATAAAGTCATTTAATCATTTGAGTTACTAACAAACTAATAATACATGAGTAATTAATAATAGTAGTACGACAATGTATAACCAAATTACCAAACAAAAATAGAAGACTAACAAGGAGTATTTAAACACTACACTCAATCTAGAAAAACATAAAGTGAAAAAAAATAATAAATGGAAGAAAAACAAAGAAAAGGAGGAAAGGTTTCTACTGAGAAGGCAGCATGTGCATGTTAGTTGTTCCTCTTTATCCACTTATGATCATGATTTGTTAATTTTTATTAATTTACTCCATTTTGTCGTCCCGTGAAATATTCAAATCACAAAATTGTTACAATTCCTTTTCATTTACCTTTACTAAATAAAAAGTAACTAAAACTAAATAAACAAATTCTTTTTTTTCTCCCACTCGATATCCTATAGATATCCGACTAATTCAAATTCACTCTAAAAAGTTTCACTTTAAGAATAAAAGTGTCCTCAATTAAATGTGATTTCTTTCTTATGGCTCGAGAGGAGACCTTGGAAGGATATTTACCATCGACCGCAACCTTTGGGGTTAATAAATATTCTTTCCGTTCTAGCTTACGTGGACCTTTTCGCTTTTTGAAGGTTAATTTGACTAATTTTTTTAAGCTAAATTGAATTATATTAACTTAATATTTTAAAGGTAAAATTTTAATATTCAAAAACTATAGGTCAATACAACAACAACAAGTAAAATCTTACAAGTAGAATCTGGGGTAGAGTGTATGCAGATCTTACCCCTACCCCGAAGGAGTAGAGAAGTTATTTTTAAAAAACACCCGGCTCAAGAAGACAAAACGAGACAATAGATCCGTAACAACAATAGAAACCAGAAAAAATAATATGAGCAACTCTTTTTATGTCAATATGATAAAAAATTTATTTCAATGCGAGAAGGTTCATAAAAACGGGAAATAATAGAGTAAATATAAATCCCAAAAAAGAAATGAAAATTCTATGAGAGTTATTTTGGAGTCAGAGTTTGTGCCTCACTATTTGGTTGAGGAATGCTTGTTACCTACTCCTCTTAAATCCTTAAGTTCCCACTCCCACTCTACTTCTCTTCCTATCCCTCAACTTTCTCCCTTTCCCTCTTTCATTGGTGATTACATAGTAAAGTGCTAATCTTTGATCTCTTCTTCTTTTGAGTATGGAGAAGCATAAATGCAAGTTATGTTCAAGGAAGTTCTTGAATGGCAAAGCTTTAGGTGGTCACATGAGGTCTCATTTAATGGCTTTGCCACTTCCACCTAAGACTCCGCCGTTAAAACAAGATTCCGGCGGCGGCCGTAGCCAGTCAACTCTGTCACTCTGTTCATCAGAAAATCAAGAAGAGGAAGTGTTAGAACAGAAAGGTGACGATTCATTGGGTAATTATGGGTTGAGAGAGAATCCAAAGAGAAGCTTTAGAATGATAGATCCTGAGTTTTTGGATGGTGGGTATGTGGTACAAGATAGAGAAAGTGAGACTGAGTCAATAAAAAAACCAACTTGTAGAAGATCCAAAAGAAGTAATAAAATGGTTGTAACAGTAGAAAAAGAGAAGGAGAAATCAGTTGATTTTGAGCCATTGAGTTTATTTTCAGATAGTTCAAGTGAAGAAGACATTGCTATGTGTTTAATGATGCTTTCAAAAGATGTTTGGAAAAGTTCACAACCCTCAAAATTAAGGCCAAAACATGGGAAGAAATACCAATGTGGGATTTGTCACAAAATGTTCAAAACTTCTCAAGCTTTAGGTAGTCATAAAACCATTCACAAGATCAAGAACAGCAATTCTTCAACTTCTATTGAAGATTCAGAACAAAAACCAACCAAGAAATTACTTAGTGTGAAGAGTATTATGGATAAAAAATTGCATGAATGTCCATTTTGTGGGAAATTATTTCAGTCAGGTCAAGCATTAGGTGGGCATAAAAGATCACATCTTATTATGAGTTCATCAACTACAGGTTCTTCCTCATTAAAACTTGGTGATAGTTTTTTAGTTGAGCACTCAAATTCAGCTAAATTACCAAATGGATTTATAGATCTTAACATGCCAGCACCAATGGAAGATGAAGATTTTAGCCAACCAGATTTTTCTGCAATTTCAGATGCTGATTTTCAACATCAAGAAAATGGGAGAGGTTAAAAAAATTGTCACTCTCGTTTACTATCTTGTTTTGCCTTTTTTAATCTTTAAATATGTCTTTTAGTAATTTTTCTTAAATGGGGTTTACTTATTTATAGAAAAGTCATGATCTTTAATCCCATTTTAGCTCCTCTGTTTTTATGGTAGTTGTAACACACATTGCTTTGAANAGAATGAATTCTATATTTGCATCAGAAGTCTGCATTCTTTTTTGTTTTGTGCACTTTGTTTTTCTTGTAGGAATATGGAAATACTCTCCCCATTGAATATCTCCTTATTATGTTTGCATATGATATGAGTATTGCTTGTGGTACAATTTTGTTCAGTTTTGGTCTCAGTGAAACTACCAAAGCAAAGTTTTCAACCTTCTGTTAAGCTGCTCCCACTGACTCCAGCTGGTGCCTTGTTTCTCCTTATGCTTCTTCATATTTCTTTTCATATTATTTTGGGGAAATGATATTGTATAATTACTTTCAAAATAATAAAAAAATATTATATTTCATTATATATGCATATATATATTTCTATATATTATATACAAAACTATATAAATTTTATATATTTTTACAATTACTCTTTGGCCTTTTATTACATTTTCTATAGAAAGAAAAAAAAAAGAAACCTTAAAGAATTCCATTGTTTTTGTTCTCTCTCATAATTGCCTTTATGGATTTGTCTGCTTGAGGTCTGCACAAGTAGTTCTTCTCCCATCTGTGACAGATATGACTACCAGAATCAACATCCAAAATTACCAAAATAACCCCTTTCACTTTTCTTTAGCCTATCATTGCCTGCTATGATAGGTAAAAATAACTTGATGGTATAAAAGTTACTTAAAGTGGCCGTATGTATAACTTATATACGATAATATACTGTTGCGTCTATTCAAACTTATTAATTTACAGATTTAATACATTAATATAAGCCGTATGCATTTGTGTTTGACCTTAATTTATTACTCCGAGTACGTCATGATCAGCTAATAAATTACTCTCTCCGTTTACTTTTACTTGTCACGTTTTTACTTTTTACACCCCTTAAAAAATAATAAATGAAGTGCATAATTTACTATGATACTCATATTAATTGATGCATATTATTAATGGTTTTGAGAAAATAATATGAAATGAGTAATTAATGACGTGAGTATAACAGGAAAAAGAAAATTATCTTCTCTTGATATGCTAAAAATGAAAATCTATTTTTAAAATATTGAACAAGTAAAAGTGAACGGAAGGAGTACATGGCTTTCACCTTTTGGGATTATCGTAATCTATTTATTTAGTTAAGCCAGAAGGTCAAACAATGTATTCATCTAACATGCTAGTAGTTGCTTATCGTTATCATTAGTGTTACAACTAGCACCTCTTTCGTCTCAAATTATTTGAGATAGTTGTTTCAAATTATTTATCATTTTAGAAGTTAAAAACAAAATAAATAATTATTTTTTTTATTTTACTTTTAGTAGTAATTGTGGTCTTGAAAACTACAAACACCTCAATTATGGGATAGTATTATAATTGTTCAAATACTAATAAAATATAAATAAAGATAAAATAATTAAAAATACCTCATAATTATTATTTTTATAAAGGATGTAACACGACGTATAATTTGAGAAGGAGGGAGCAGTAATTTGCATAAACAATCATAACATCACGCCTCCAAGTTCCACGGAGTTTAAAGTGAACTAATCCCATTGATGGAGTGGTGGCCATTATAGATCTCTGTTTTAAAAGGCAAAATTGAGACTCACTCCCGGGCAGAGCGCTCGTAAAATGCCTCTGGGCTTATGTGTGGGGCTTAATTTCGTGAGATTTATGCCTCGTTCATCAGGACTTACGCCTCGGACACGCTCAATACCCAGCGTACTGGGCTCGGCTAATAGAACTTTATGCAATTGTGTGTAACTAACATTGTAAATCCTCAAATTTTCTTAATAAATCGTTGACTATTCAAAATTATTTTTTTCTTAATCATAAATCATTAAGTTGAGAGTATTTTATGTCATAATTAAAATAAAAACTATTGCACGTTATCCACTAAGATTGTTATGATAGTAAATTTTAAATAAATATCTCATTTAAAAGTATTTATTTATTAACTTTTGTTATCTCTTTATTATATAATAGTCCATAATTTTTTTAATAATTATTTTCCTAAATATTATTTTTTTCACGTTTACGAGATACAGTATTTATTAATTTAATAGCTCAGTATTAGCTAGTAACTATTTACAAGTAATTAGTTATCATGGTATAGTATGGTGAATTATGTGTCACTTTATTAACTTATTGAAACTAACGATGCTAGAGAATCATATTTAAATTGTGAATTATATTTTTATATAAATGCTCTTTCAAATAAAAAACATATTAAATAAAAGGAGTATTTTAAAAAAATATCAAATTATAATATCGAAGTTGTTTCAAGATTCATTACTTCTTAAGAGATACATATAAAATTTCGCATCGAATACATTACTTTTGATGTTTGAGTTGTATGTATATTATGATATATGTCATACTTTTCGTATTATTCATAGTTTAATTATAATTTATAAATATTTTAAATAGATTATTTGTTATAATTTTGTGATTTTAATGTAATTTTTATGATTAATTTTTATTTTATACTATCTTAAAATTCTTGAAATTAGTAAAATTCAAAGATCCGTAGGACTTACTCCCCATGTCTCAGGGCTTACGCCTCGCCTCGTCAGAGGTAAAACGTCTATAACAACACCTCACTATAACAGCCAAAAAATATCGAAACAAACGAGGTTGTTATAGAGAAATTTGACGGTATTGAAATAATCTTTTGTAACGACCCGACTGGTCGTTTTGAGAATTAGAGACCCGATCCCCTAATATCTGATTTTTCCACATTTGTTTCTGCTTTTGAGATTTGCCAGAGTGATTGGTTATGGAATTCGGGGAGTTTTGGGACACTTAGTCCCTAGTTGTGAGTTTAAGCCTTAAAAATTGGACCGTAGTCGGAAATGTGTGAAGACGGATTCGGAATGGAATTCCGTCGACTCCGTTAGCTCCGTTGAGTGATTTTAAGCTTAGGAGCGCGTTCGTAATGTGTTTTGGAGGTCTGTAGTAGATTTAGGCTTGATTTTGCGAAAGTTAGTTTTTCGGCGATTTCGGGCGATAATAAAAATTTTGATATCAAACTCGGAATGGAATTTCAAAAGTGGCTATAGGTTCGTAGTGTCATTTGTGACTTGTGTGTAAAATTTGAGGTCATTCGGACTAGATTTGATGTGGTTCGGCGTCATTTGTAGAATTTGGAAAAAATTCTAAATTCTAAGGCTTGAATCCGTGCTTAATTCATGATTTTGGTGTTGTTTGATGTGGTTTGAAGGCTCGACTAAGTTTTTATGGTATTTTAGGATTGGTTTGTATGTTTGGTTGAGGTCTTGGGGGCCTCGGGTATGTTTCGTATGCTTAACGGAATGAATTTGGACTTGGGAAAAATCTGGTGCCTTGCCGGTTCTGGGGTTTAGCACCTGCGGAAGGGAGGCCGCAGGTGCGAGAGGCGCAGGTGCGGAGGGAGTGCGTAGATGCGGAACTGGTGGGGCTGGTAATGGAGTGCAGGTGCGCAAGTTTGACCGCACCTGCGAGCCCGCAGGTGCGAAGCGTGGGCGCAGATGCGGAGCCTGGCTGCTTTAATGAAATGCGCAGATGCGCCGTTTGGACCGCAGGTGCGAGAAATGCCCGCAGATGTGGCCCCAGCCCGGTTAAGTGACATTCGCACCTGCGATGATTTTTTTCGCAGGTGCGGGACCGTAGATGTGGCCCCATGAGCGCAGATGCGGATATCGCTGGACAGAAAAGAGAATTTTGAGGGTTTGAAATTTCATAACACAAAATTCAATTTAGAGCTCGGTGGGAGACGATTTCTCGAGGGATTTCGAAGGAGAACTATTGGGTAACTAATTCTAACTCTATTTTGATCATAATACATTAATCTATTATTGTTTTCCTCGTCTAATTAAAGAATTTGAGGGTAGAAGTTTGGAAATGGGGGAAAAGGTTCCCCAATTGAAAATCTGAGATTTGAATGTGAATTTGACGTCGGATTTAGATGATTTTTGTTCGAGTGAACTCGTGAATGAATGTGTATTCATAAATTATAATTTTTACCCGATTTCGAGACGTGGGCCCGAGAAGACTTTTTGGGCGTTTTCCCTAATTTCACGCTTTAGCTTCGAATTAATTAGCTAAATTAGTTACTTGTAGTTATATTTACATTATGCAATTAATTTGAATAGATTCGGGCCATTTGGAGACGGATACTCGTGGCAAGAACGTGATATCGATCTGATTTGAGCGGTTCAAGGTAAGTGGCTTGCCTAATTTTGTGTTGGGGACTTTCCTGTTAGGATGTTTGATATTAATTGATGTGTGGGCGCCGTGTACGTAAGGTGACGAGTACGTACACGGGCTATTATGGCAAAAATCTTGTTTTTCCTTTCTAAATCATAAACTGTTTTCCCCTTATTAAATTGCATTAATACATTTAATTGTTTAGCTTAGACTAGAGAAGCATGATTATGTGTTCTAACTGCCTATTTGACATTCTGTGCGCTATGCTTGGTTAAGTCCATATTTTTCTTATATGTGTTCAGTATAAACTGTATAACTCGATACCATACCTGTCATTCCATCTTGCGTTGCATATTTAAATTGAGACTACGGGCGTATTCCGGGAGACCCCCCCTGTCTTGCATATTTATTTTGGGACTGCGGACGTATATCGGGAGATCCCCCAGTACTGCATATTTACTCTGGGACTACAGACGTATTTTGGGAGATCCCCTTATACTGCATATTCATTCGAAACTACGGGACGGTATCTCGGGAGATTCCCCATTGTGTTTACCTTGTTCTGAGCCGAGGGCTCCCTTAACTGTTAAATTTTTGAGAATTTCTTTAACTGTGTTACCGTAAATTCTACTTATATATTTTACTGTTTAATTTATTATATTTACTCCGGTAGGGCCTTGACTTGAACTCGTCACTACTCGACCGAGGTTAGGCTTGGCACTTACTGGTACTATTGTGGTGTACTCATGCCCTTTCCTGCACATGTTTTCATGTGCAGATCCAGG